ATATCCCCTAAATCTAGATCATTCATCCACTGCCCAGAGACAAAAATCAGGTCGAGCGTGTGTCCCCCATTATGGGTGAGTTAGGTCCATAGCTGTCATGGAAGCCATGAACTCCCGAATGTTGTATCTCCAATATTTATTTTCCAAAAACTGAGTAAATTTGTTTTGGAAGATTTGGGTTGTTGCTATTGTTAAATGAATAGAAATCACTGTTGTAACAGTCTTCTCACCTTTGTTTCACCATAGCAAAAAATTGTGCAGCAAAGAGAATAGGAAATCTCCTCACATCCTATACAAGCTTATGTATGTAGAGTACATAATGTAGAAGCTTATTAATGAACTGTGTTTGATTTTTGAAATAGCCAACTTCCATTTCAGTATCTGAGCCAGGTTCCATGTATTTTCTGAAGGATGCAGAGTTATGGTCAGAATGAGATAGAAAAGACTTGTTAGCTTGAATCAGTTATTTGTAAAATAATTGTTTTAAATGAGGTACAGAGAGTTTTTTCTTAATGACCAATCGCTGGAAGATCATTCGAATTTATAAAACTCTAAAAATAAATTACTTAGAACCTTGAATTTTGGGTGCTTTGCAACCAGCTGGTATTCTAGTTGCAACATCCCATGGTCATGTGACTCCATGACTTGCGACAGTTTTTGCCATTTTCCATCAGAAAAAAACACCCATTGGATAGACTGGATTTGCTTAATGACCCATAGTTCACTTAACAATGACAATGACTCATTTTAAGACGGTTGTAACAATGGTTATAAAATCGAGTCAGGTCAAATGGTGACCTGCTTAACAACTACAATTACTTGATGATTAAAATACCAGGCCCAATTGTGATTGTTAAGTGAGGACAACCTGTATTTTTAAAACAACTCCAGTCCTGCTTCATATAGGTTTATGCATTGGTGAGAAATCTGAGTGGATGCATTTTATAGATAATGTAATCATTAATAATGGTTATTATAAAAATCACTTATAATAATACTTTCACTTTGTGTATTTCAATGAGCTCTTTCTTTTCCTACTAGACTGTGGTTTTTATGGCCAGATGATAATATAAAGAATAAAAGAAGCAAGAACAAATGTGGTTGTCTTGGTGGCTGTCGGTTTTTTGGTGGCCCTGGATCAGGATTAGACTTCTTCAAGTTTGAAGAATTGACACCATCAAGTAGCTCTGCTTTTTCAAATGCAAGTGCAGAATCAGATATGTTTTATGGGCAGTCTTTACTGCAACCTGGAGAATGGATTATTACTAAAGAACTTCCAAAAATTCCAGATGGTAAAAGATTTGTATCTATCTATCTGTCTGTCTGTCTCTATCTGTAATCATGTAAAAGTCTACCATTAATTAAACATTAGCATATTTTGAATATACGTATTCAAGTTAAAGAAATCATGCATTTAACAAAAGTATTGCACAAAAAGTGATACCGAATGCAAACATTTGCTCACACAAATGCATACTGTTTAAAATGTGTGATTAGATTAGGAAAATTGATGATTAAAAATATTCCACTTAAAAAACCAGGCTGGTTTTCTAATGGCTGTCACACTTTTTAGTATGTATTTATTTATTCATTTATTTAAAAAAAAACAAGAAAAAATATTGGTATCTTTAATATTCATAAATTTAGCAGAAACTATGTAATTGTTTTTAGGTAAGGCAAATGGTGTAAAGACAAAAGAATGGGAATGCCGAATTGTAGGTACAGAATCTGGAAGAAAATCCCAGCAATTAAATTTACAAGTACCTCTGCGATCTCATAGTTCTTCATCGTCTTCAGAAGAGAATAGTAGTTCTAGTGCTGCACTTCCCTTGCTTGCAGGTGATAGGGAAAGCCCTTCTTCTGCCATGGAAGACCACTTAGGACAAAAGGGGCTCTTGACAGGTTCAAAAAAAGAAGAGGCCCATGGAAGGTGAGCATTTACTTCTCAATAACATCTTGTTCCACTATGGAATTATCATGTTTATATCTTTTTGTCAAGTATTTGTTGTTTGCTTTATTTGAGTAAACCCTGTATTGTTAAATCTTGCGGTTTGGGATTTGGGAGAATTTAAAAACAAAGTAGGGAATCATGTTACTTACTTCTAGAGAAAATATGGGGAGCCAATGACTTTTTCGAGGTTATTTAACTGCATTTCTAATCACTGACCATGGTGGCTAAGGCTAATAGAAGTGGGATTCTGCCAACATTTGGAAAGTCATATATATTAATGTTTCTATCATGCATGTTTCCTTTTGAGTTTCTCAGTGTGCAGTATCAGTTGTTATCCAATATCCAATAATGCAAAGGGATTAAAGTAATTGTGAAAACCTTTGCTTTTTTGTTGTGTTGAAAGGAAATCTAATATCACAGTTTCTATGTCAACCCTGAATAAATGTTATTGATATTGAATACTGTGCAGTTTGCATCACTGTGTATAATTTTTCCCTCTAGTAATATAGCAGAAGGATCAGCAAATAGCCCAGTATCTCCTAATCTACAAGAAAAGCCCGTTGGACAATCTCCTCTTAGATCTCCTTTGAAACGGCAAGAATCAGTATGTTCTGGTCGACTTGGAAGCACCAAAAGTCTTACTGCAGCTTTCTATGGTGATAAGCAGCCTGTTCCAGTCGGAGTACAGTTCAGCAGTGATGTTTCCCGTAGTGATGAAAATGTCTTAGATTCTCCAAAGCAAAGAAGAAGTTTTGGTTCTTTTCCTTATACACCTTCTGCAGACTCAAATTCATTTCATCAGTATCGTTCTATGGACTCCAGCATGTCAATGGCTGATAGTGAAGCCTACTTCTCGGCTGCTGAGGACTTTGAACCCATCAGTAGTGATGAAGGCCCTGGAACCTATCCCGGAAGGAAAAAGAAGAGAAAACAAGCCAAACAAATTGATTATGGGAGGGGATCAATGTATCACAGTGTAGAAGGACCACTTACTGCTACCTTTCAAGGAGAAACTAGTCAAGATACAAAAACTCTGCCAATAAAAATGCATCCCTCTCAAGCTTCATTTGTCTCTGCTTTGGGAGGAGAGGATGATCTGGTTGAACATATATATATCATAGAAACTGAGAAGGCTCCTGAGAATGAACAAATCACTTCCCAGCAGCCTTTAATGAACTGCTACCAAAGCTACCTCACTCAGTACCAAGTGATTAACTGGTCAATAAAACATCCAACAAATAAAAGGACCTCCAAATCATCTTTACATAGACCATTAGATCTTGACACTCCAACTAGTGAAGAAAGTTCCTCATATTTTGAGCAGCTTTCTGTTCCAATTTTTAAGGTAAAAACCACAATGTATTTATTTGTTGACCTACCTATCTACGTTTATGTGCAAAAACAAAATGGAAAAAAATTAACAGCAAAAAATACCCTGTCAATTACTTATGGTAGTTGTCCTAATTCAGATTACCTGGGGGGGGGAATAGTTTACTATAGTAACACAAATGTTTACTTGTTTTTGAAACAAGCACAGTAGAGTTGGAAGGTATCTTGGAGGTCTTCTAGTCCAATCCTCTGCTTCCTTTGCACATTAACAGGGTGGATGCTACAAATTTTAGGGAAAAGTATTTCAAAGTGGGAGCTATCCCACAGAAGTCTGTCATCCTGTCTGTCTGTGTCTGTCTATCATATGGCATATCATATATGAATTAGCAAAACATACACACACACACACACACAACATTTCATCTAGATTAGTAAAAAACACAATAAAATGTTAAAAAGATCTATGTTCATATACCAATGTCTAGGCCATCCAATCATATGATGTGATCTACAGTTTGATGTGAGACCCCACAGTGACACTGAAGGGGGGATACTATGCCCATCTATATTTATACAGACAGATCCGGCAGATTCTGTGGGAGGCGCAAACCCTATTCAGTATTGCCCATTGCTGGTGTCGTAGCTCAAAGCCTGGCACCTTTTTTGTGGGGGGTTTTATATGTCTTCTTATATCTGGGTGTTTAGCAACCCATTTGACTTTCCATTGGGAATCAAACTTGTTGGGCAGCTGTTATGCAAGTGCAAGTGGGGGCTTCCTTGATTTAAGTTTTCCAGCTGATAAATGAGGAAAGTCAGCATGTACCGATAGGAGTGAGTTGTTCATAATTTTTCTGTAGTCATTGTTTTTATCTTACATGCACTGCTTACGGGGAAGGAATTCTTAACATGCCTTCTCTAGATGAGTAGCTCAGATAGCAGAGTCAATTCTGGCAAGTCTTGGTCTGATCTTTCTTCTGTATCATGACCAGCACTTTGAATTGGGACTGGAAGCTTAGTCTCAACTGATACAGTTGCTTTAGCATTGATATTGTTTCTTATGCCACTGTTAATAATTTTATACTAGTGGCAGTGTCAGCGTTCCAAATACAATGCAGAATTACCAAGGGGGATGCAGCTTATCAGATTTTCAAATGCATCCCCATGTTACTGCAATTCAATTGGACAGTGATCAAAGCATATTATGATCCTAGTAAAGTTGCATTTCGCATACAAGACAGAGCTGAGCAAAAGCGCCCCCCCCCAGCATACTTAGTAAATAGGAACAAAAAGTCCACGAGAATCCTCAAATCATCTCTTTATGAGTAGTATCATCAATGGATATAGGAGTGGAACCATTCCAAAATAGTCTTCAATTTTTTCAGTCAATTGTAAAGAATATTATAATTAATTATACATAACAAGAAGTCCAGTAGGATCAAAAGAGTGCATTCCCTCCCATCTATATCTTGAGAAAGGTTATGAATCAGAGTGCTATTTCTATTTCTATTTCATAACTAGGCCTGAGTGGAATTAAAAAGGACCTAGACAATTTGTTTCTTCTAGAATTTCCCATCACAAATAAATTGTAAATAATGTATTCAAAATAATTTATAATTTCACTGAATCCTTAATGGTGAATTTTTTTAATTCTTTTTTTTTAATTTTTTGAATAGACACAAACAAACAAGACACAACAAANTGCTTTTTCATTCCATTTGTTATAGAAGCATATCTTCCAATTATAAAAAGTTCTTTTATAAATAAAATTCTATTTAAACTTATGACACGGGACAATTTTATTTTATTTTATTTTATCATTTTATTTTATTTTATCATTTTATTTTATTTTATCATTTTATTTTATTTTATCTATATGCCTTCTGGTTTAATAATATATCACAGTTGAAATTTTAATTATACTTTAAATATTAATTACATATGATTAAAGTTATATTTTTTAAAAATTGTTTTCACTATTGAATTTTAAAGCTTAAAATGCTGACAATAAACAGCAACATATTTCCTGTCTCCTTTGCAAAGATATCTCTCCTTCTTTATTTTAAAGAAATATTTAATATGCTCCTATATCTTTTTTCATTGCTGCAATGAATTTATTTTCCTTTACTCTTTAAAAAAAAAATGTCAGCAAACAGATTTGTCTTGTATCATTTATCAAATCTTTATGGATTTATACTCTTTTAAAAGTGTTCTCCAATTCATTTTTCTGTAACAAATTTATTTTTTTGGGTCCTTCCCAGTGTTCCTAATTCTTCTTTGCACTGCTGATTGTTTTGAAAGATTAGCTGAGGTTGGAGGAAAAAAAGAAAATAATCATTAAACAAATGGAGCTGAGAGAATTGTGGCCTATTTTTAAACACAAAGATGGCTTCTAAGGGTTTGTTAAATGGCTACAATGGTGAGAAAGGAGATGTAGTGTTTAAATTTAAAAGGGAGGATATTGATTTGTAGCATTTGTTTTAAAGAAGAAGTAGTATTTTTATTTTCCTGGCTAAAAAAAAAAGTACTATTGTCAGACTGGGGCATATTTGCAGAAGCTTCATGCAGTGGTGCTGGACATTTCGAGTTGGTGCCTTCTACAGGCTTAATATTTGACCAGACCAGTAAAGTATTTATTTTACTTAAACAATATGGAAATATACATTTACTATCGGTATAATTATATGACTGTAGAAGAACAATGTGCTTTCAGCTTCAATTGCCTTAATGTATCACTTTGCCTTTATTTAAAATAAAATGAATACATGCCAAGGATAACATTTACTACTATCTCCCCCCTCCCCCCACAAAAAAACCCTTTAGATGAGTTGCATTTCTGGCCCTTGTCTAACATCTGATGAATTAAAATATACTATGATCCGCCTGGCAGTAGATGGTGCAGATGTACACGTTGTTGAGCATGGTTGTGCTACAAATATAAAGGTAGTAACTTGTCTTACTTCACATCTTCATTTTTGTATACAGCTAATCCTCAGATTACAATCATTCATTCAGCCACAATTCAAAGTTAAGATGGGCTGAACTAATGCTGCTTATGACAGATCTTATAATTCTGCCCTCTGCAATCACAATTTCTGATATTCTTTGCCAGAAAATAAAAATATCAAAAGTCAATGTTTTAAAAAATTTTTTAAAAAAATTCAGCATGATTTTAAAGAGATTTCTATAGCATATCTTTTCTTTATATTGAATGTTAATTTCATGTGTCAACATTATTATAGAACTATTTTTGGCTATCTTTGGCATAAGCTATAAAATTGTTTTTAATAAGCATAGTTATTAATATTTATGTCTAATTTGACAAACATTAAGTTGTGAATTACACAGGTATAAACTCACACTTATTGCAGAAACATATAGTTTGATTTATTAGCTAAGTATGATTTCATAGGTGTGAAGCCTATTTACCGTTTGAATTGCCATCTTAATATTAACAATTTTATTACAATTTGTACTTGTAAATAATAAATTTAGAATCGCCATGTTTTTATTACTAGGGAGTAAATATCCTATAGTAATTCGAGTTGGTACTCTTCTAGGATTTTTCCTGATCTTTTACTTGAATTTGATATTTAGGTGGGTGTTGTGCGCATCGCTAGTTGCAATCTCCACAATCAGTCAGTTGGTGAAGGTATAAGTGCTGCCATTCAAGACTTCCAAATACGACAGTATATTGAACAAGGGAATAATTGCCGAATTAGTCTTCAACCTGCGATACTACGGAGGGCATATTGGCTAGAAGCAGGATCCATCAATTTTGGCCTTATCACTGCTGATGTTGCTTTAGCAGCAGACCGCTATTCAAAGCATGAAGCACAGAGACATTTTTTGGAAATTCATGATAACAGAACAAAGAGGTAAGAAGAACAAGTAAAAAAAATAGGTTAGTAAAAAGATCTGTTAATGAAAAAACATTAATGAAAACATTCATGATAGATTCTTCAAAAATGTAAAGTTTTATAAATGTTTGATGCAGAAAACAGATTCCAGAATTTTTGTTATTATTATGCATGTATACATCGGTATGTATCTATGTGTATGAATTTCTTTTTAAAATATTTGTTATTAGCAATGTTTTAATATAATTTCATTACAATCTAATGATAAAGATCTGATATTTTCTGAAGTTGAAAACTGCTTTATAATATAATCACACCTTTTAAATCTATTTCTGGGAAATAAAATATATTTAGGTTTAGGTTTATTGGATTTATATGCCGCCCTTCTCCCAAGGACTCAGGGCGGCGTACAACATTAAAAAAACACATGTTACAAAAGTTTAAAAAGATTTAAATAGAATATACAAAAAACAAACCCAATTAAGATTAACAATAACATTTTAAAAAGAAATTTGATTAAAATTAACAATAATCAATAATTTATTTTGTTTTGTTCAGGCCAGGCTGGCTTGCTGGAAAAGCCAACTTTTTAGGGGCNCCCTGGAGACTGAGGTAAATCTTGAGGCCACACCTCCATTCCTCCACTGACCTCCCAGATTAACCTCAGTCTCCGGCCCAGAAGGAGTGTTTTACTGGACTCTCTCTCACTTCGTAGATTTCTAGGTTTTTCTAGGGTTTTTCCCAGTTTTTTCTAGGTTTTTTCTCCAGACCTTTAAGATTTTTCCATTTTTTTGCTCTACCTTCGAATCTGCTCCTCTCTCCACCCGTGCTCAGCGCTGCTTGCAGGCAAGCCTCGCCGCGATCCAGCGTGTTTCCCAAGCAGCCGGACGGTCGCGTAAGAGGGAAAAGAAGCCGCTGCGCCACGAGCCCGTTGGGACAGCTGCAGGCCATCCAGGAGAGCTGCGCAAGGCACCAGCAATTGAGGAACCGGCCAGGGCCTTCCTCCAACGTTCCCGAGCCTCGGAGGAGATCGGATCGCAGATCGGTGGCCATTTTGGATTCCGCCATTTTAAGAGCACGTGGAAGAGCACATGACCCTCCTACGGAGGCTGAGAGTGCTCAAAAGACACCGCAGTAGCAGGAAAAGGCTACAGAAAGA